CGGGTGGCTTACGAGTACGCGGAAGCCGAGGACAAGAGCATCCGGCTCGGCTTGTTTCTCATCATCTCGGGCGTCGTGTCGCTCTTCATCTTCGGCTTCTGCTGGCTTAGTCCCGCGCTGCAGGATCTGCAAGCCACGGCGGCCAATTGCACGGTGCTGTTGGTGCAGCAGATCGGCAAGGTGTTCGAGTGCACCTTCACCTGTGGCGCCGACTGCAGGGGCACCTCGCAGTACCCCTGCGTCCAGGTCTACGTGAACAACTCCGAGTCCAACTCCAGGGCGCTGCTGCACAGCGACGAGCGCCAGCTCCTGACTAACCCCAAGGTAAGGGTGCCCCGCGCGCCTGGGGCTCCCGGAGAACGGCACCTCGCTCCTGCCGAGCTCTCGAGATTTGGGGCAGCGTCGGTGGACCCGGGGCGGGGTGGGTTTGAAGCGCATTCGCGTTCCTAGGAAACCAGGCATCCAGGTTGTTCCAGAGCAAGTACACTGGGGAGCCTCAGGATAGGATCCTTCAGGTGGGTTTGTGGGGTGAGACCAGTGGCGCCCAGAGGCTCTGTTTACACCCCTGTCTTGCTTGGTCTCAGGTGTCAGCGCTTCTTTCAACCCCAGGGCTACAAGATGGGCTTTGGAGAAATTCAGGGAGCCAGAAAAGTTAACTTTTCCTCCGATTAAAGCCAGTAGGTAGCGGGAATCCACCTACTGCCATGCACCATCAGTGTCCCGGCTCCCACTGGCCACTTTGAGAATCGATGGAATGACTTTTCTTGGGAGATGGAAGGGGTATTTTAGCTCGTCCAAAGTTGTTTTGAGTCCATTGCTTTTTAGCTCTTTACAGTCGTTTTTAACTTAGGGTCCAAGATGAGGCTTTGAGGGTCGACCTGTAATCAAATGCGATATTCTGTATAGGTCCACTTTGAGGGACTACAGAAGGCTTTCACGAAATTGATTCTCAAAAGGGTCGAGGGTCTCTAGACTTTGAGAAAAGGGTCACCCACTGACTTCCTGTGTATCTAGGGGCACTCGGGAGTGGACTGGAGAAAGTAAAACTTGCTGAAAATAGAAAACCTTCAGTGAAATGTACAGAATATTCCTTTGCAACCAACTTCTTTCGATCTCACAAGCCAAAAAAGAAAAAAAAAGTTAAAACCTGGTTTAGGTCTCAAGGGGTGGAGGGCAGAGGGAGGGAGACTCAAAAAAGGTTCCCAGTGGAGAGAAAAACTTATAAAAAGCAGTGTCCTCGCTCTGTGAACTAATTCAGCTTTGTAGTGCACTTGGTTCTGGAAGAAAGGTTTTCTTTTATTATTCCCTTGGTCTTTTCAACTATCCTTGTTGCTAAACTATCAAAGTAAAGATGTGTGTCTTAAAAAAGTTACAGGCGTTTTTTTCCTTGTTCAAGGGCCGTATTTGAAGATCAAGCAGGAAAATAGTACAGAAGGGAATGAATTTTGTGTACATAGGAAAACTTTATATTGAATGTAATGAGATATCTACATATTAATCCCCCCCATTCTGTGTTAATGATTTGAAACAAGCTTATCATCACTCTGCAATGAAACATGTGGGCTTGTCTCCTAAACAGTAAATTCTTGAATTTGGGAAATTAAAAAACTTTATTTTAAAAATTTGACTCTTCTGAAAAAAAATGCTGCTGGTGACAAGTGATTGATCATTTACCATTTACCGGAGGCGGGGGGGAGGGGGCAGATATGAAGAGAAATACATAAACAATATTAGAGGAATGAGAATTTAGAATATAAAATCTAGAGTCCTTGTACAAGTTCTTGAAGAAGCAATGTCTCAAAGGCAAATCACGTCAATTTGCTTAATGCTCAGGAATATTAAAAGAAACATCCTGTCTTTTCCCCGTGATTAAACCAATAATATCTAAGAAAAATGCCAAGCAGTAGTAATGATTTAGAAATTATATGGTACAATAGTTCATTCTTTAGGATTCGTTATAGTTGGTGAGACATTGCTAATTATTTTAAGACAGTGGTTCAGACACTAACTAAAATTTACATATACATAAACCAGTAGATGGCTTATATCTAATCAAGACGTTGGTAAATTAGAATGTGCTATAAAAACACTGCTTCACAATTTCCAGGCAATTTTGAAGGACCTGGCAGAGAAAGTATATTGGAAGCATTAGGACATTGATTTTCAAATCACCTGGAAGCAATCACAATGCTTTATGTAATGCTAGGATTTCTCTGTCTCTCTTGTTCTCTGATGCAAATATCTGTGCTTTTCCAGTGCCAGTTCAGATCTTGGCAACAGTTGTTTTGAAGAAAAAACCTGAACAAAATAACATTTTAGAAAGTATTCCGGGAATGACAGAACTGGTGAAAGATACATTTATGTTACAGAAAGTGATGAACAACATCCCATCAAGGTTCTCTTAACCAAATTGATATATATGTCTTTTTATCCAGATTGTGGTTGTGTTGTAGCATTTATAGAACATAAAATTGTCCTCTAACAGTTTTATGTTTGAATTAGTAAATGCTCAATATGGAAATTCTTGTAAGCAATTGGTGATGGAAAAAATTTGATTAACCAAAATAATCATGCCAGGGTCAAGTATATCAGCAGAATGTTTCCATAGTGTCCTTGCAATTAGACAGTACCCATTGCCATCCCTTTTGCATCTTGGTCAACTAGATCTTTTCTTTGCCTGACCTTACCTCTTTATTAATGGCTTAGGTTTCCCACCCATTCTTTGTAAAATGTGTAAATTCCTTGTAGTGTCCCCAGACCCAACCACCTTAGACCTTCTCATTTCGACGCCCCACTGCATTTAAGAAATCCCTCCTTAGAGGGTACCAGCAGATGGCATAATGGTATCGTTGCTGGACTCCCACGTGGTCGACCATGATTCCAGTCCCAGACCTGGTGGCTTAAAACTCATGCCGGGTGCATGTGCCTGCGTGCCCAGAATCCCATGAGGACAATAGAGGAGAAGGGATGATAGCGTGGCTGTGCCCCCTACAGGGTGATTCTCACTTTCTGTCTCTCTGTCTCTAGCAAGCACATACATCCCATAGCAAAAATATCTCTTAAAAAAATAAAATAACCTCTTTTTAGAAAACTAGAATAAGGACTTTTTTTTTTTCTCTATCCTGAGTTTGCCTGAATTAATTACAGTAAAAGGCAAAGAAGGGGGAAGAATATCACCACCCTATAGACTACTAAGGAAGGTACTGTGAATAAATTAGATTTTTTTGACTGATAATTTTTAAAAACATCTTAAAGTCTTATTCAATTTATTATGTTTTGAATCATGTCCTTATTGTCCAAAGCAATCACTGTATTCAGTCATGTAATGTAGTATTCAAGTTAACTAATTATCTACAGGGAAAGAATCTGCACTGAGTTAACCATAGCAACACCTAAATTTTGAGTCAGCCTCCTCTTGCTAATGTTCCCATCACTGTTGCATTGTTTATGTTAAGAGCTTTGGTTCTCAATCACCTGGAGAACTTTGAAATAATTTTTTTCAAAGTTTATTTATTCCTCTCTTCCGTGAGCAAGATAGACAGAGAAAGAGAGAGAGAGAGAGAATCTCTACTTGATGCCGGGATCTAGCCCCATCCTTCAGCCAGCCCCAGGTCATAGGCAAGTGTGTGCCCAGAATACTCAGGGAGGTCTCAGGACTTCAACGAGGAGCCATCCCATGTAGGATTGCTTTCTAGAACATTAGATTTTACTGCTGTGCCACTGTTTGGCCCTTAAAAAGAAATTCTTATACCTGGGTCCATGCTCAGAGATCCTGATTTGGTCTTGGGTGGGACCTGAGCACTGATTTTTTTTTTTTTAATTTGGCAAGTGATCTTAATGTGTGAATAAGCATGAAAAACCAGTGTCTAGCAAATGTACTTACTCACAATGCAAGAAAAGCTACCTAGAACCAAAAAGGACTCACTGTCATTAATATGTGTATTTTCAAGTTAAAGGCTGTTGATGCTGGGCCTGCCCTGTAGCTTAGTAGGTTTTATTTTTAGGGAACCCCACCCCAAAAAATTAAAACAAAAATAAAATATATAGTCTCTGAGCACTCACTCTCTCACCTCACATGAAGAGGGCAGTTTTGAAAATTCATCTTTTTGGAATCAGCAGATGGCATAATGGTTGCGTCACTGGACTCCCACATAGTCTGTCATAGCTTAAGTCCAGGACCCCGTGACTTAAAACTCATGCTGGGTGCATGTGCATACGTGCCCAAGATCCTGAGAGGAAGATGGAGGAAAAGGTTTGTGGTGCGGCCATCCCCCCAGGGTTGATTTCTTACTTTCTATCTCTCTGTCTCTGTCTGTCTTGCCAGCAACTGCATGTGCCCTATAGCAAAAATCTCTCTTAAAAAAAAAAAATCTTTTCTTTGCCATCCAATGTGAATATTAATGTAAAAGCAATTATTTGCTTAAGGGAACCAAATCCCATATGGCCAACTGCAATTCAAATTCCAGCCCTGGAAGCTTGAAAAACACATCAGAGGTGTATGTATGTGTGTTCAAAATCCTGGCATGATGGAGAAATGGGGGAATAGGGATTGCAGCATGACCATTGGTATGCTTTCTCCCTTTTTCCCTTTCTCTGTCTTTCCCTGTGAGTGCGTACACCCTTCGGCAGTTAAAAATAAAAAGATATTTATGCTACTGAATATAGGAAGTTGGTCTAAAGAGAGACTCAAGAAAATTCTGAAAGAAAATATAAGAATCATTTAAAATTGGTCTAGAAAAATAAAATTAGTATGGAAGTAATATTTTAAAAATTATTAGGGACCGGCAGATAGTGTCATGGCTATGTCGCTGGACTTTCATGTAGTCGGCCACAGATCAAGTCCCAGACCCAAACTCATGCTGGGTGTGCATGCACGCATGCTCAAGATCCCAAGAGGAGAATGGAGGAGAAGGAATTGCAGCATGGCCATCCCCCCCCACCCCGCCCCAACCCCTGGCGGGTGATTTCTCGCTTTCTGTCTCTCTGTCTCTGTCTTTCTGGTGAACGCATGTGCCCTATAGAAAAAAAAAAAAAACTTTAAAAAAATGATTAGTTTAAATAAACTAAATCTACTAAATTCAAGGTATTTTCTTTTGCATCAATATATGCATTGGATGTCAAAGAAAGATGAATTTTTAAAGCTGCCCTCTTGTATGTGATGAGTGAGTGAGTGATCAGAGACTATTTTATTTTTGCTTTAAGTTTTGTTTTGCTTTTTCTGTCCACCAATAAAATCCTAAATCTGAAACTATTTTATTTTTGCTTTAAGTTTAGTTTTGCTTTTTCTGTCCACCAATAAAATCCTAGAAACAGAAGATAAATGT